AAATGATTTACCCTATCATATATTTGACGGTGAAGTTGTCCTTTTTGCAGATGATACTAACATATTGGTAACAGATAAAAATATAAATATTCTCCAAGATAAGATAGGAGAGGTGATGATCCAGTTAGAATCGTGGTTTTCAAAAAACAATTTGATTATAAATACGGAAAAGACCAAAGCAATGCTGTTCCAATTAAACAAATCATACTATATGTCTGAGCCAGTAATCACCTTCAAAAATATGAAAATTAGTTATACCTCACAGTTTAAATTTTTAGGTGTTAATATATCAAATAACTTAAAATGGAGCTCACATATTCAATCTTTATGTCTAAAATTAAATAAGGTGTGTTATATTATAAAATCCTTGAAAGATGTAGTGAGTTTCTCTACGCTCAGGAATGTTTATTTTGCTAAATTTCAGTCCTTAATAAGTTATGGTTNAAGAATAAAGAACAAACAATATAACCTATTTGAATCATACCTTTTAAATAGAAAACAGATAACTGAAATTTTTAATGTACTAAATAGAAGCAAAGTAAACTCAAGGTGGGGTAAAATAACCAGTGGTGTCCCACAAGGATCCATTCCTGGACCATTTCTGTTCATAATATATATTAATGATTTACCAAAGATATTGGAGGTGATGAGTACACCCATACTTTTTACTGATGATGCCTGTGTGTTAATTTCTCATGCAAATACAATAAAATTCAAAACCAAAAGAGATGAAGTATACAGGATTTTGGATGATTGGTTTAAAAAGAATTTAATGTCTCTCAATATAATGAAAACATACTACATAAACTTCACTTCAAGAACTAGGTGTGATAGGGATATGGAAGAACTTGGTGCTACTATAACATGTGCTAATTACACTAAATTTCTTGGCCTGACAGTCCAAAATGACATAACTTTTGATGGTCATATACAAGACATAATAAAGAAATTGAACAAAGCCTGCTATATGATAAGAAATAGAGAACAAATAGTCTCCATGAAAACATTAAAAGTGTTTACTTCTCATATTTCCATTCTGTCATGTCATGCAGTATAATGTTCTGGGGTAACTCGTCTCATGCTGAAGGAGTATTCAAGCTACAAAAGAGAGCTGTAAGAATAATGAAAGGATGTGGTTTTAGAGATTCATGTAGAGAATATTTTAAAGATATGTATACATTTCCATTAAGATCACAATACATATACTCCTTGATGATGTTTATTGTAAAAAATGGAGAAATATTTTATACAAACAAAGCTCGCTATGAAATTAATACCAGACACATTATGGACATACACATGACCCAAGTAAATTTGACGATATATGGAAATGGGGTGTATCATATGGCGGTAAGGATTTATAATGCACTTCCCAAGTCACTAAAGCTAATTTCAAAGGATATAAAAAAGTTTAAAGACAAATTAAAGGAATTTTTGTATTTTAATTCTTTTTATACATTGGATGAATATTTTATGAGATGATGTTTTATGGTTATAATATATAATTATTTAAGCAATATGGTAGTTTGATTAAAGCTTTTTTAGTATGAAACTTAAACTATCTAACAATACAGGTTTTATGTGATTAAGCCTTTTTAAATTGTACGTATTATTACTTGCATTTCTTATTACCAATTATACTCAATTGTTATCTTATATTGTCAGTGTTTAGTTACAGCTTTTATCATTAATTATATTAACATTCTAAACTATTCTTATATTATAAACCGGTTTTTAGATAATTGCTTCATTGTATAAGCAAGATTTGTACATAATATTTTGACTGAATTTTTTATTCTAAAATTGTTAATGTTTTTAATGTTTTTAAGATTAATTCTTTTATGACTAATATAAACCTTATCTACTATTAATTGTTTTTTGACAGCTGCTTGATTGATGAGCAAGATGTGATTAAGCTACTTGACGATTTCTATATCTAATTGGTTGTTTTTCGACCTTGTAAAGATCTTATGGAATGTGAATAAATGAATGAATGAATCTATGAGCTGCTTGTCTAGAAAATGTGGGAACCTCAACATCTCACAACCCTATGGGCGTCCACGGCCTGTTACAAGGATACCTTTACTTTTACTTTTTACGTTGTCTCCGTAAAATAAGAAGCTGTTTCTCTGCTAAACTGTCACAGCCTTAAGATATATGTCATAGTTCTTTCTGCATTTTACAGTCTGTGCTTTCTTTTTAATATTAATACCTTGTCTGTCACTCTTGATTTACTACTAACTTAAACTAACCTCATGGACCTTAGCCCTTCTTGAGAAGCTGCCAATTGTATAGCTACTCAAGAACTTCCCAGCAATGGATGGAACCTGAAGCATGTTCACAAGAGCCCTCCATTGGTCTCTATCCTCAGCCAAATTGATCCAGTCCATACCCCCCCATCCTATCTCTCCAAGATCCATTTTAATATTATTCACCCACTTATGTCTTGGTCTTCCTAGTCGTCTTTTTTATTCTATCTTTCTCACTAATATCCTATATGCATTTCTCCTCTAGACATTTGTGCCTCATTCCCTGCCCATCTCATCCTCCTTGACTTGATCATTTGAATTACACTTGTTGAAGAGTACAAGTTATGAAGCTCCTCATTATGCAGTTTTCTAAAACCTCTTGCCACTTCATCCCTCTTCAGTCCAGATATTCTTCTCAGCACCCTGTTCAGAAACACCCTCAGCCTGTGTTCCTCCCTTAATATCAGAAACCAAGTTTCATACACATACAAAATAACAGTCAAAACTATAGTTTGTGTATTCTAATTTATATGTGTTTAGACATCAGATGGGAGGACAAAAGGTTCTGAACTGAATGGTAACAAGCATTATCTGAATTCAGTCTCCTCTTAATTTCCTTCTGAATCAAGTTTTGATTTTTTACTGTCGTTCCCAAATACTTGAACTGTGCCACATTTTCAAAACATCTGTTACCTATCTTTATATCACGATTTGCCCTGCATTGTGGTGATAAGGCAGCAGCATATACTTAGTTTCCTCTGTGTTTACTTCTGGACCATGCAAGTATGAGGAACATGATATTGTAAAAATGTTGAGGTGATAAATGGAATTCAGTTCAATTTTATTTCATCCATGAATCATTATACATGATATGGGACAAGTCAAAGATTAATATTAATACTAATACTAAATAGTAATAAGAATATAATAATACAGAAATAGTATGCCAAATTATAATAAATGATGATGATGATGATAATTCAATTCAATTCATGTTTATTTACGTGCAATAACTCAACAGCACAGTGGCCAATTACAAAGTTAGCACGAGTATATACAGAAAATAATTAAAACAAAATACAAGTATGACAAATAAATCTGTGAACATAAATCTAAAGAAGACTGAACTATATACATACATTTATGAAATATTACTAATGTTGCTAATACTGTTAGTAACTAAATACTAAGATAAGACACCTGTGAGTGATAGCATAAAATTAATAAGATTAATAACAAGTCAATAAATTAAAACCAATTACATAAGAAAAATTAAAGTTAGCCGAGGTACACACATTTGCAGTGAATTAAAACACTAATCAAGTAACACCGTAAAAGGTTCGGTACATGCTTGTAAAATATGATTCAGAGAAACCGCTCCGTCAGCAAATATGTCGAGATCTTTACCCACCACGTTGGTAGCAAGGGCGCACCGAGAAGAGGGACAGTGTCTTTTTGAGGGACGAACGCTAAAAGTAGAGAAGTCTCGAACATGGCAAGTAGGAACACGAAGACTAGCATTATCCAGAAGGGAGGAGCAGGATTTAAGGCCACGATAAACCTGAATGAAGAAGAGTGCATCAAGAAGATGTCT